CCTGGTACAAAGGTTGTGCTCAGCAGGGTTGGAGCGTGCGTGTGCGTGCAATGCCGCAGCTCCCAGCATCGCACCGGCACGATTCCAGCGCAATGAGCTGGCAGGGCTGGGGGTACAGGGGCAGAGAGGATTCTTTGGAGCATCCCAAGCCCCTGAGCTCGTTTACCTGCCAGGCCTCAGGAGACCCCTGCATGTTGGCTCATGCATGTGCAAGCCACAGCATCATCAGTCCCCATCCACCTTGGCTGCAGTGGTCCTTGCTCACAGGGTCCCCAGGGCTGTCCCCGCTGGTGCCACAGGTTTGTAGCTGGAGGGGACCTTGCACCCCTCACCTGCACCCATGGTTGGTGCTCGCACCCATTTCTGCAAAGTGCTGCTGTGATTGCAAGGTCTAGAACATCCAAAGACACCTACACGGATAAAAGGGAAGCGGCCAAGTGCTGCATGGCAGCTGCAGCCATCCTGGTGTGGTAACTCACTGTCCCTTCTCTCCCAGGGGACAGATGGGGCAAAGCCTGGGAGGGAAGGGAGGAAAGGTGCACGATGCCAGGGCTGTTCCAGGGGAGCACAGAGGGGCAAGTCCCCAGGTCTACCTGTGCCTGTCCCCCGTGGATAGGGGTGCAAGGAAGCTCATTGAGAGCCCTCCATGTGTTCTTCAAGCCCCTTCCCCAACCAGCACCCATCTCCATCCCCATCCCCATCCTTGTTCCCATCCCCATCCCCATCCCTGTGTTCATCCTTTTCCCCATCCCTGTCCCCATCCCCATTCCTGTGGCTGCCCCTCGCCCCACAGTCACACCAGGGCTGAGCTGTGCCCTTGCCCCTGCTGAGCCCTTCACCTCTCCCTCTCATTTCTTGTCTTCCCAGGGGCGCTTTCTCCATCGTTCGGAGATGCGTGAAGGTGTTGGCAGGACAAGAGTATGCAGCCAAGATCATCAACACCAAGAAGCTGTCTGCTCGAGGTAGGTGCTGGGGGTGTTTTCGGGGAGGCGAGAGGCAAGCAGGGTTTGTTTGTTCCCTCTGCATGGTGCCAGGTTGATGCCTTTGATGTGTGGCGAGGTGGGGGGTGTTTGATGTGCAGTAGGAGACCCCCTTATCCCACCCCCTCTCCACTGCGTCACACACTGAGCTTCTTGATGGATGAGGTGAATGTCCTGAGGAGACATCATCACATCCTATCCGATCACAGGGGTGCACCTGCAGCTCAGCTGTGCCAGGGCTCTGAGGGGCTCCTGGACCCCAGCCTGCCAGGGGAGGTGTAGAACCCCATTTCTCTCCTTGAGCAGTCACAGAAAACTTCTGCCAGCCCTTGCCCCAAGGCAGGGACCCCTTGCCCACAGGCACCTGTCAGAGGAGCTGTGATGTGGAGGATGAGGAGGATGGGACAGCAGCTGCTGTGTCCACAGCTCTGGCCCTTCCTTGCTGGGTGCACTGGAGAGTGCAGGATGGGTGCTGGGAGTGAGTGCCCTGCTGAGAGGGTTTAATTAACTCCCTCCCTCGGTTTCTCTCCCTGACGCCACTGCTCACCTCCAAAGGCAAAAATGAAACACAGAAAAGTGTCAAACTCCTTTCTGACCTCAAATTAAACCAGTGCTTTGCAATCTCCCTCCCACAGCGCTGCCAAAGTGGCACAGCACTGGCACTGAGCTCTCCCAGCTGCCCCTCTCTTTGGGGACACAGACCATTGTCTTCCTCCAAGGCTGAAGGCTCCCAGCCCCAGACAGGGTGTGTGGTGCTGGCCTCAGCACTCAGCTCCTGCCTGCGCATCCCAGCTGGCAGCCGGGTGGGCAGCAAATGCCTCCCAGTTTGCAGAGCTGCATGGAGGAGCAGATTGAGCCGCCTTCCCTCTGCTCCCTCCTGCCTCCGCTCGCCTGCTCCGGCAGTTTGTCCCTCTCCATCCTCTTCTCTTGAAAACTCCTTATTTCTGCAGTGCTAGCACAGGGGAATGGCCCTCCCCAGGCTGGGAGCAATCCCCAAAGGGACATATCCCCACTGAGATGTGCCACATCCCCACTGAGATGTGCCACTGGCTGTGTCACACGTGAAGGGCACAAGTGTGGGTGTGCAGGGGGGAGAGGGGTCGGGGGGAAGGTGAGAGAAGCAGCAAAATGACAGAACAAGGGGAAATGGCTCTAAACTGGAAGAGGGGAGGTTTAGATTAGATATTAGGAAGAAATTCTTCACTGTGAGGGTGGTCAGACACTGGAACAGGTTGCCCAGAGAAGCTGTGGCTGCTCCTCCCTGGAAGTGTTCAAGGCCAGGTTGGATGAGGCTTTGAGCAACCTGGTCTAGTGGAAGGTGTCCCTGCTGATGGCAGGGGGGTTGGAACTGGATGAGCTTTAAGGTCCCTTCCAAACCATTCCATGATTCTATGAAATATCCCCATGATCTCTTCAGACATCCTCCTGGCCACTGACACGGGGAGCCAGCAGTAGAGAAACTGGAGTTTTTGGAGGATAGAAGGATTTGGGGTCCAGGCAGCAGCTGGATTTGTGGAGCAGGAGGGGCTGTGGCCATAGCTCACTGCCTCCAGCAGCGCTTCTCTGCATGGGGGACATGCTGTGCTGTGCAATGCCGTGTGGGCAGGAGGACACTCTGACCCACAGCAGCTACCCCTCAAGCTCAGCAGGGTCCCTCTGTTTGAGGGACATCCCCCTGTCCCAGCACATCCATCCCACCCACACACAAAGCCCCTGCAAACTGTATCCTGGAGGTTTGCACATCCAGGGTGTCCCCTGCCGGCCTGTGGCCCCGTGGGGGGGTTATATCCACACGATGCTCAGAGGAAAACGCAGACCTGGGTTCGCTGCAGAGCGAGACTCTGGGGTGTGAGCCTGCAAGGTGACAGTGACAGCGCCGAGAGACGAGCAGCCCTAATTATATCCTTGCTTCTCCTGGGTGCTGGGTTCCTGTTAGCATGGTGTGCCTGCAGACAAGGCACCTCCACGCAGGGTGGCTGGGTCAGGTATAAGGAGGCAGAAAAGTGAAGAAGCAGGGAAAAAGAAACAAAATGATTTGAGAATTCATTCTGGGCTGCCCCAGAGCAGAGGCTTTTTTGGCTCAGCTCAACTGGCTTTGCCCAGAGCTCCACTGACTCACACCCCTGAGCCTGGAGAAAGCTGGGTAGAGGGACCTGCGCTGCCTGTTTGGAGCCAGGCACCAGAACACAGCAAATATTCAGAGCCAGGGGTTTGCAATGTAAGAGAGCAAAGACCTAATGTGAAACAGCTGGGGATGGAGAGGGGGAGCGGAGCAGACAGCCCTGTTTCAGCTTGACATCTCTGACTGGTCAGCTCCATCTTCAACTCTTCAAATTGTACCACGCGGGGACAGAAATGTCCTTGCTGATTGCCTGTGCTTGGCTGAGTGAGAGAAAACAGAGCAGGCGCTGCTGGCAGGGATAACCCCGGCAGCTCCGGGGATTCGGGAG